AGGAGGCTTCTGAGGACATTTGCCGTAAGAAATATTTGACATAGAGCTGTCAGTCGTATGCTCTTTATCCGCCATTTAAAAAATGAATCCACAAGCATGGCCTTTGAAAGAGATATATTCTCGAAAAACATGACACTGTGGCGTCGGATTTGCATAGGGCATCTCTTTCAAGTTGAGGCCTGCAGTATGTCTAAATAATTTTAAGATTTGCCTATTTTTGAGCATTTTTTACTCGGTACAAATTTAAAATAGGCATATACGGCAGGATTAACTGACATCAATAAATTTCTTGACAGCTCCTCAGCCGCATCTTGTCGCTGTATAATGTTGGTAACGAAGAGGACATAAAACAATTTGAAATTTCACAAAATAAATTGCATAACAGCAAGAATCGTGGTTCAGTTTAAATAATAATCGATAAAGGACACTGAAGGGGGGAGTGGGCGGAGAAAGGCAACAAAAATTACTTGGAGATTAAAATTAAGTGACCAATAACCAGGGTAATTGGAGGTTGACCATATGATCAAGCTGCTTGCATAGGTCGGGTTTTTCTTACCGTATGTAGGCAGCTTCCAAGTGGGGCAGGGTTCGGTTTGTTTGGGCCCGAACAAGTACTGGAAACGCTGTTTTGACGTCGACAAAATGACCGCTGTCTAGTAGATGCTTTATAATAGAGGACCGCGGTACTCTGTATTCTTGCTTGAAAAGCTAGTTGGGCAAGTGCCCAGCGGCCCTGGTTGCCAGTTGCTTTTGCGTACGCCCAATGTGCTTGCATCCACAAGTACATGTGAATTCATGCAGCGACAAGATGCAGCTGAGAAGCTGTCACAAAATTTATTGATGTCAATAAATCCCATCGTATATGCCTGTTTTAAATTTTTACCGGGTAACAAATGCTTCAAAATTGGCAAATCTTAAAATTATTTAGACATACGTTTTTTACTACAAGCCTCAAATTTAAAGAGACGTCCTATGCAAATCCGACGTCACAGTGATTTTTAAGTAATTCTTATTGTTTTCAAGTCTTTTGGAGACTTTAACCCTGATAAACATCTATGTAGTCTTCACGTGCATATTACTTCATTTTATAGTGAAATGGATTTCATACCTGCCAGTGCCAAGTTTCTAGTCTAGATTTCAAACAACTTAAAATAGCAATCATGCTGAGTTTTTCTAAGAGTTAGATAGAACTCAGTCGTGAATAATTTTAATGTGTCCCAAATGGGACTTAAATGGCGGTTGCTTAGTACGATTCGTAGTTAAGTGATCTATTTTCACAGTATCCGAAATAAAAAAACACTTGCCTACAACCGTTGGTTCTAAGTCGACCATTACGGCGCGAGGAACATGTTTGCCGGCGCCAGTTTCGCTAAAGAATGTATTGAAGGAATCGTCTCCACCGCCGATGGTTTTATCGCTCGGTAACTGACCATCTGGTTGAATACCGTGTTCTAGGCAGTAAAGTTCCCAGCACGCATTACCAATTTGCACACCGCCCTGGCCAATATGTATACTAAGACACTCACGCTGAAAGAAAACCGGTAAAGATAATCATTAAGGAGAGAGAGAGAGAGAGAGAGAGAGAGAGAGAGAGAAAAGAATGTTATATCTAGAATGGGATATCCTAAACTTTCAGCAAAAATGGCTCCATTCACGGAGAGCAAAGGATAAGGTAAATAAGGGGTCATGGTAAAACGTCAAAAGTAAAAGGCCAGCCTTTGACTTCAAGCGTAAAAAAACATGTGAACTCACCATTTGCAGCACCGACCTACACCGTTTGCTTCCGACTATTAAATGACTTCCTTGAGAGACGTTTTTTTGTCTTTCAAACGCTTATTCAATCAATAAGCCCGAGCTTACCGCGCGTCGCGTCTATCGATCGATATCTGCCGCTATCATCTGACTACGGCTGCGTGAGAAAAACATCTGGTCATCGTCTTCTTGTGGTTTCGTAGAGCGCCTGCTAATGACCCCGAAAATAGCCAGCCTTAGCTCCATAGGGGGGGAGGGGGCTAACTGGCAGCGCGAGGAAGGGCGTGCTAACTGTCTTTAAATACTGCGGACTGCATCAGAGAACAAATAACGCAGTAGGGAAAAGGGGCTTAGTCAGACATGCGAATGCACATAATACGAGAGGTGGGGGGAGAGTAATTTAGGCAAGCCAGTTTAGATTAACGCGTGATTAAACTGCAACGCATGCGGGAGCAGTCAGTCATGCAATGGGAGATGACGAGAAAGGGAATGGGGGTTACATTCATTATCAATTTTGTGAGGTTATTATTATTATTATTTTTTCAGTGAGGTTAATCATGCGATCAATCTCCTTACTGATTTTTGTTTTTTTATCTCCGTATCGCAGCGGCCTGTGCAAAGCGCAGGAGACTCCCAATCATCACCCTACGTACAACCTTGAATAAAGCCATTAGGTCCATGGTATGACCAGTGTCCACTACATGCTTTACCCTTGAACTGTTTGTTATCTTAGTTCATAGCCTAAGCAGCTACTTAGGCATTTTTTTCAGTTAAATGTGTTACAAACGGCCTTTTTTTGCACCCGATAAATTTGGATCCAAAAAACAATGTACCAAGAGACTGGAAATGATGACACGGTGCCCATTACTGGTCTTTGCATTTTTCGGAGCTTTCGACAGAAATCCACAGTATGAGAAGTCGCAACCGCACTGTTCTATCTCATGCAGACAAAAAGCATCGCTAAAACCATAGTATGTTGTTACGTTGAGGCCCAACTTGACCGGTTTGACGTGTATTCTGAACGAAAAAGAGGGCTATTGGAGATTGTGCCTGAAAGTAGCGTTTGTATGGAGCCCCTGTTTTAGAAATGACCGAAGTTTTTAATGACCCAGGGCCTCTGGGTAAACAAACTCAAAAGCCTAGCGATTGTTTTAATCTAAGCACGCAAAATCTATGGACTGAGCTCTGCTCCTTTGATGGAAGTTTCATCAACCGGATCTAAATAATTTAACGAAAAGCACAACTATGGGAACAGCTGCATGCGTCAGCATGGAAAAATAGTAATTTCCCAAACGGCCTCCACACAATCACTTGAAAACTGATTTTTGTTATTAAAGTAACAACAGCACAGGGACGACACCGATGTAACTGGATATTACAACTTGGAGCCACAATGCAAAAACATTGCAACTTCACAGAAATAAAGGAAGTCAGTGGTATTTTCGTAATGAACACTTTCGACCGACACTGAATTTGCATAAGTGATTTGAAAACAACAGTTATATATGAGGTGGCTTGGCAGATTTTCTTAATTTGAGTTGACCCAATTGTGAAAAAACTCTTGGCGTTTGGCGGGATTTGAACCTGCGCATCAGAGAAGGCCTTTGCTGGTGGCCAATGCTCTAACCGCTAAGCTACAAACGCCCCGCCTCACGCCATGAATTTAATCGTGGCTTGAGGCGGGGCGTTTGTAGCTTAGTGTTTAGAGTATTGGCCTCCAGCAAAGGCCTTCTCTGATGCGTAGGTTCAAATCCCGCCAAGCGCCTCGGAATTTTTCACAATTGGGTCAACTCAAATAACAGTTATTCTAAAAGTTCAGTAGGACGAAGACGGGACTAAAAATCTGCAGGGATTCATCACCTGAGCCCATCCGTTCAAGCCTAACGCAAGATAGTCTACGTATGTATTGAAAATTGTATTCCATATTACAATCAGGCAAGATGAGTTTCTGAAACACCCCTTTTAACATTTAATCTTTTAGATCAAAAATTACTCCGCACATTGATGAGTTACCCAGTGTCCCATTCATGACTTTGTGCCCAAATTCCTTTTAAGGCTAACAATTCTGACTTTCTTCTATTGACTGGTGCCAGTTCGACCGACGAATTCGACGCTGTCCGCCGCGTGTTTAAGCAGGTTTAAGGCAAATGCGGTGACCCGCGAGTGCGTTAGTTTAAGTAATAGTGTACCTGCGTTGTATCTACCGCCATTTCTCCTCCCTTGCAGAAAGTTAATGCCACAATAGAAGAGAGTAATGGCTTGATTGTTAAATTCGCATGTGCTTCGCAATTGGACGGAATGCCTGACAAATTGGCTAAGATCTTAATCTGTGAAGCCAGATGACTTGACCTAGTTTTAGGACAAAATACTTACAGGCAGAATTCATCAACTCAAATTAATTATGCAGGAAATAATACCTACGGAGACAAGAGAGATTCTGATGATTGTTGAGGCAGTGTTTCCCGCGTACGAATTGA